GAAATAACAACACACAAACTGTATTCATTTAAACACTGCTTGGCCCATGAACTCTAGCCCTTACAGGCTAATTCTCGCACCTGGACTAGCCCATTTCTAATGATGTGTGTAAGCACCCCAAGGTGCGCTTACCGGGAAGGTTCTAACCTATGTCCATCTTGGGTCGGAGCTTCATCGCGTGTGCCTCAGAAAGCAGAGCTATCGGGAGAGCGGAGTAGAGTCTGACCTCACTTCCTCTTCCGCCCAGAATTCTATTCTGTTTACTCCTCCCATCTATGTTCTAAGCTATGAGGCCAAGCAGTTGGTTTATTATAATTAGCCAATGACCTTCCTCCATCAGCTAGTCACCCCGTAATCCCTGTACAGTTTTTAAGGTTCCATGGAAGGGCTTCCCTGTGAAACACGGATGTAGTTCATCCAATGCATGCTTTTTTATTTTCACTAAAGACTAGCTAGTTAGTGCCACTTTCACTGTTGAGAACCAGATAGCATCTTTTCTTTTCTCCAGTGCCAGGGGTCAATCCCAGAGCCTCGTGCAACCAGGCAGGAAGTACTTATTACTAATTATGTCCCCAGCCTACCAGTTTAACCTCTCTGAGCAACCGATGGTGGTTCCCAGGAGTATGTCAGTCTTTAGTATGGCTACACTGCCTAGCAGTGCTCCTGCTCCCTTGATGGATTCCACTTTGAGAATTGGCAATCTGCAGGTGAATTTGCAAAAAGGTGACCGGCCAATGGGATGGTACAGTGGTTAGAAACACTTGCTGTTCAAACCTGATGACCCTAAGCCCAATCCTCAGTGACTTGGAGGAAGGAGAGAGCTGACTCTATAGGTTTGTCTTCTGCACTCTACACATGTGTGGCACGTGTGAGCCCTTACACATCCCATATACATATAAAGACATTGTGAGATGAGATTGTATTTCCATTGATTCTCTTGTTGGTTTCCTTGCCTTGCCACATCATTAGAGTCAACATTTTAAGGTGCTGTGATCTTTTCTGATGTGTATTAGGAATTAGATTGTAGGGTTGGCGGAGTATCTCAGTGCCAGAGCACATGCTCAGCCTTGTGCAAAGGGCTCTGGGTGCCATCCATCCCCAGTGCTAAATGAATAAAGTACATTATTGTGCCTTCTATCCCTGAATGCATTTCTACTTGAAGTGAGTCCTTCTGGAGTATATCCCTTTCTTACTGTCATCTAAACATGGTGGAGTGGGCACATGCCTGAAGTGGTTAGAGTTCCTTGCTAAGGCAGCAGGAACTCTGCACTTAGGAACAGTGTCTCTGGCCTGGTTCAGTGGGCATTTCCTTCATTCCTACAACTCTGGGGACTCTGGGATACTGTGGTCACAGAGCACCCCTCTTGAGGATGCTGGGGCAAGGAGGAGACAAGCTCCTGACAGTGTGTTCTTAATGTTTTGGCCCGTCCATCTCTCTCTCTTTTTCTTTGATAAAGTAAAAAGTTCTTTTGTTTCTGTATTCTTAAAAAAAAAAAAAAAACCACATTCCGTCTTACCTGTGTTTTTTCCAACTTTCAGAAAAGCAAAAGGAAAGGACATGAATATACCAATATTAAGTATTCTCTGGTGGATCAGACGAGTGGCGATCAGAGTCCCCTGCCACCTTGCACCCCAACACCACCCTGTGCAGAGTAAGTAGTGATGTGGCAGCTTAGCTCTGGTAAAAGCTAATGCAGTTGTTTGTAGTATTTCCCGTTCACACTTGCTTGCTTCCCACTGATAATACATGGGGGTGGTTGGGGTTGAGGCTCTCTAGGAACTGTGTGGACAATGTCTAAACAGAGTTTCAAGGTCCCTAAACAGTATGCACATGCAGGACCTTGTGTGGCCTCAGCCTATTAGGTCAGGGTTCTCAAGGGGAAGTCTAATTTTCCTTTGGCAGGGGAATTATTTCAGTGGAAGGTGCTGTCCCTTACAATGTACTGTGGCTCGTTAACAAGTAAGAATAAATAAGTTCTCTGTTCATGTGTGAGCACGACTATGATCTGCCAGTCTTCCTGCCAGGCAGCTTTTTTGTTTTTTTGAGACACGGTTTCTCTGTGTGTAGCCCTGACTGTCCTGGAATTCACTCTATAGACCAGGTCAGAGAGAGATTTGCCTGCCCTGCTTCCTGAGTGCTGGGATTAAAGGCGAGCGCCACCACCGCCCGGCTAGCTTTTTTTTTTTTTTTTTCCAGACAGGGTTTCTCTGTGGCTTTGGAGCCTGTCCTGGAACTAGCTCTGTAGACCAGGCTGGTCTCGAACTCACAGAGATCCACCTGCCTCTGCCTCCCGAGTGCTGGGATTGGATTAAAGGCGTGTGCCACCATCGCCCAGCTAGCTTTGTTTTTTTTTAAAGGAGTTTTTAAAGAAGAAAAAGGGCATCTATCCCAGTAGGAAATGATGGGCAACTATGAATAGGCTTGCTGCAGAAGAAGCAATGGGCGGCTTAGGACACACAGGGAACAGGAAGGGAAAGCTTGAAGCTCTCTCCGCTGACCAGATGAAGTCAGAAGGGCAGTGTCCAGCAGTGATGAGGACAATTTTGTTTTCAAGGAGCAGCTGTCTATCCCACAGCAGCAGTTCAGGACCTTGGTTCAGCTCCACGGGACAGCTTGCCTGGCAACTCCAGCCAGAGCCTTAAGAGTACAGTGACCTTTGACCTTGCACCTTGGAGAGTTCGTCTTATGGAAGCGCTCAGATCTTGGGAATGTTTTTCTTCCAGAGGCATTCAGCATGACATCATCTTGATAATTTAAGAATTTGGAAGATACTTTAATAGTACACCTGTGACAGGAAGCCATTTGATGTTTCCAGCATGTGAGATGGACTAGAGACACTCCGAAGTGGATTGCTGAAGGACCCATGTCCTGTCAGTCAGACTTCACATAGCCTTGAACTTTGGATGGAAAAAGGAATTAGTTCCCGACTTTACAGTTAAATACTACAGAGTCCCTAGTGTTGAGCAGCTGTGGAGTTGTCAGGGTTTTGAATATTTAACCAGCAGTGTGCTACATCCGTCTCTACAGATCTCTGTCTGTGTCTGTTATGTCTGTGTCTGTTAGATAGACACACTCTTGAACCTGGAGCCACAGGCTGATGCTTACCAGTTTCTTGAAGGCAACTAACTGTCTCCAGGGCATTTGGGGGTGAAGTACCCCAGTCTTCCGTGCTGATGCTCTGTAGCCTGTCTTTAAAGACTCTCAAGAGAGGCAGGACTCTGACAGGACCCATATTCACATTCCAGGATACCCAGGTTCCTGCAACTTAAATGATAGTTTTCAGGGCTACTGGCACAGGTTAACACTGAAGTCTGCTGTGATCTCTTCCTCATTCTGCTCCTCCTGTCACCCCAATGCCTGGTGTCCTAAGGGCCCTGGCGTAGCCACAGTCCCTCAGACCATACCTCTCTGCCCCTCATGCACCATGGCCTGGGAAAGGAAAACCCCAAAGCATAACACACACATTGGTTCTTTCCAGAAGGCCTTTGCCAGTTCCTGGTTTAAAGTGAAATACATCAGGACAGCCTTTGTTAGCCTAGTCATGTGGCTAGCAGCTTTGCCATTTGTACAAAGTCACTGTCCATCATAACATTTACTTTTTCTTTCCCCTGGCATCTGGCTTGTTTGCCTCTGCTGTGGGCTTTTAAAGCCCCCCCTGACTTTAATATTGGCACTACATGGCGCTGAGAGCAGATAGAACCCTGTGTTTACATTCTCTCTCTGTTAAACACAGGAATGAAGTCCTGTGGCAGCAGTGTTCTCTCCTGAGTCACTTTCCCTCTTCCTGTTTCCCTCTCTCCCAGCAGCCTGGGGATGGTGGTGCTTTAAGCCACTAGCTGGGGAGCCAGCCCCTTTCCCATGAAGCTCACCTGCTGCTGACAGGCCACTCTGCCTCACCCTTCGTGCATGTAGGATGCACACCTCAGGTCCCTGGGGCTACTCAGAGTCCCCATCTTCCGGGCCCACACAGACTCCTCTGATAACCCTTCTTAACAGAGGGAGGCTGGCCCTTGGATGTTTTTTTTAGATCTTCACCCAAGGTTCTAAAGGTGTCTGGAGCCTGCCTTCCTGTTCTGATGCCTCTGTTGGACATGACCACAATTCCTGTCTTGTGTGCACATGACCCAATTCCTTTGTTATCCTCCAAGCAGCCTTCGTTCCATTCACACTCAGAAGGCATAGGACTCAAGGCCCCTGCTGCTTTTCCAACTTCATAATGATACTGCACATAAGTGTCTGAGAGTTAGCTCCTGAGTGAGAAGGGTGTCTCTAAGCAAAGCTAGGCCAGACAGCACATGGCAGGAGTTCAGGTGTCTTCCTTCTTCCTTTCTCTGCAGAATGAGGGAGGACAGCGCTCGAGTCTATGAGAATGTGGGCCTCATGCAACAGCAGAGGAGCTTCAGATGAACCCCACTGGCGGCAACACGCAGGTATTTAAATACTACAACGTTCTCTGGGACTGTGCTTTACAGCGTTCCTAGACAGGCAGGTGATTTGTGTATGCTAGAGCAAAACATACTGAGATGAAGCTTTGCAAACCACCCTCTTTCTTCTGGCCCTGTCCCTCTCCAGGCCGGGTTTAAGGTTTACAGTTCACTGTGCATTAAAATCAGATCAGATTAACTGCATGGGGTGGGGCTGGCACATAACAGCAAGCATTTGGCTGTGGCAACCATCACTGTTCTGCAGATAGAACTGGGCTTGAGTGGCACAGGCCCTGCTACCCGTGATCTCTTGGCATCAGGAGCAGCCATGCCTCTCAGGGCTTTTGATTGTGTCATTTCCCTGTGAGGTGCCTCCCTATCAGTCACCATTGGTCAATATACATGATGCCAGCTTGTATGGTACGTTAGAAACACACAGTATAGTATCACAGCTAAAATTCCTGTCCGTAACAGTGTAGTTTAGCAGAGAACATTTGTCTAGCATGTGTGTGTGACACGCTAGTTTTGGTGCCCAGCACCTTCCGGAAAGTATGACGCTTTCCATGCTTATAGATGTGCAATTTCTTTCCACCCCAGATGCAAACTTTCACCCCTTCCCTTAAAATGTCACGAATAGACGAGAAAGTCTCCAGGACCCATGTGTTCAGAAGCTCGCCCACCTGGGTTGTCTAACTGCCTTTTGAGAAGCGAAGTTTGGAACCATTTGAAGAGCACGCATCTAATCGGCACCTCCCTTCCTCAGATAAGGAGAAACCGCTCTGCGTTGTCAACAGTGCTGCTTTTATAGAATTGGCTTTGAATTGTGGAAGCAGCTAAATTGTGCTCTGTATTTTACACATTATGGGACTCAAATTCTAGTTATGGGCAGGATTTTGTTTCTTTTAATGACCTTAACTGATTTGATTCTCCCCACCCCCTCTCTTTGGGGAATCATGGGCCCCTTGTAAGAAGAAAGGATTTGGAAATTCAGGAACAGCTTCTCCAAGAAGCCAACAGTCTGTAAACCACTGCTCATTTTACACTGGCCAGGGGTTGCTTAGGGCTGCCCATCATCACAGATTCGCTGTTCAGTTCCAGGGACTGGGAGACCAGGCTGTAGGGTTGCACTGGTGAGGGCCTTCTGGCTGTGCCACGGCGGATGGGAAGAGTGAGGGCTGGCCTCACTCTCTCAGCAAATCAGTGACTCCACCTTCAAGATCCAGCTCCTGAGCGTCCCACCTATCAACACCATGGCATCCGGGATTCTCTGCGCTCCCTGCAGATGCATATTGGGGCACATTCGACACAGAGTTACCCAGTCATGGACAGTTCACTTTGGTAGCAAAACGATCATTCAACCAGTGATGAGAGTCAGGATAAAAAGTCATGACCGAAAGGCCGTGGGAATTGGCAGATGAGAAGCCTTTCCTCTGAAGGTGGTGACAGACAAGCTGTTGTCTCTGCGCTGCTGTCACCATCTGTATTAGTAAGACCCTGGGTGAGTGGCATTTGTTCTTCACTTGTTCCTGACTGGCCCACACCACCCCCATTCTTCGGTCTTATCTGGGCTTGCATGAGCCCACCTGCCCTGTGAGGATCACTTGGGGAGTTGGCAACATGGCTGAGACCCTTAGCTTCTGTCTCAATGCGCTGTCTTCCAGGTCTCTTCTCCTGGGTGTCCGAAGAGACACTTAGCTTCTGTCTTCCATATCTCTTCTCCTGGGTGTCTGTAACCTCACTAGCAGGGAGGCTGGGCCTTTTTGTGTCCCCTAGGGCTTAAAGGCAGAAGTGTCCTTCTTCAGATTCAGGCCTGGAATTACCATGGCTTCTTCCATGGCTCTCTGTGTGGGAATCAGACTTATCCTGAGGTGTTTAGTGGAGGTGCCATGCTCTGGGGCCACCAGTCTGTCAGATGGCCTCAGACCGTGCTGTGGGTGAAGCAAGTGGCTATAGTTAGCAAGAACCCAGGCTGCTTATAGTAGCTGGTGTAAACTGTGGGTCAGATGAGAAATGTAGAGCCCATTCTAGAAGCTTCTGAGCCAATTTTTCTGGCACCACACATGTGTTGCACTACCCTTACCTGAAGACCTGGTGTGGTAAGGGTGTGAGTGTTTGGGAACGAATGGAAGCTTGTTCCTGAAGCCCTGCAGATGAGTGAAGGTGATGCTTCGTTGGGCCTTGGCTGAGCGTGAAGAGTGGCAGTCCTGGCCGGGCCTCCTGTCAGGTCTGGTCAGCCGCTTGTGCTCTCACCAGGCAGCAGGATTTGCTAATGTTCTGCCATAAGTGCCTTCTCCAGAGACACCCCGTCTGCCTGCGTGCTGATCGCTGAGAGCATGTTTCAATGAAAGCATTCAGATATTGATGCTCATGACATACAGTGGCACAGCCTCCACTCACATTCCTGAAAGGAAGGACTGGACCCTGCCTTGCACTCATTCCTTTCTGAGGCTTCCCATTCCCTGGCAGCCTGAGGTGGTTGGGCAGTACAGGGCCCCCATTTTCTTAGAGCATGTGTGTTGATCCTTGGCCCCTTCTCCACTGGACTCATTGCTTCAGAGCACAGCGTGGCCTGGCTGTGTTCCCTCATCAGGGGAACACGGGGACTGCTACCTTCTCACAAGCCTGTGACGATCAGGATCCCAAATCCTATTTTGTAGCACATTGTCACAATGAATGGTGTTGGGGATGATGGTAATATCTAGACTCTGGACTCTGGGGACAACGTCTCTCACCAGCACACACAGGTTGGCTGTCTAGCTGATCTACTGAGTTAACGTCTCTGCCTGCAGCTCAAGATCCCGGAGCAGACTTGTTCTTAGCCCACTGTGTTCAGTACAGCATGTGGTTTCCTTTGGCTCCCAGAAGCCACCCAGTTGTCATGCCAGTAAGGGAACAGATTCCTATGAGTCCCTGGGTCTCCTGGATCTGTCAAGTGTGGTGGGTGCAGTGTCTCAGGAGAGGGTGCTCTGTGTTGGAGGCAGGTGCAGTGTCTGGGAAGGTATTGGAGGTGTGGATTTGAAACAGTGGGAATGAAAGTTGCAGAAGTGGTTCGTGGGCAAGTTGGAGAGCAGACTAGATGTGACACACATGGTCCCCTCACTGCTGAGCCTTTTAAATTAGAAACATAGGATTTTATATATGGGGGAAAATTGTCTAGCACATGGTATTGGGGTTTCTAGAAAGCCACACTTAAGTCTTAGTAAGAAGGCTTGCCACACTGGTGTGCGGCCCTAGTGATGCCCCAGGTTGCCTCTGCCATCATAGTCGGTGCCTTTCTGATGGCGAAATTGGGGTTAGAAAAGACTGTTGGGTGTTGTCAGCTATGTTCTTACAGAGCTGGTGGCCTTCAATGACTTTGAATTGGTCAGGGTTATTTCTAGTGTGTTTTCTGGGAATTCAAGAACATAAGCGTTGTTTTCCTGTGCCAGGACTGAGGCAGGTGCACTTGTGAGGTGTTCTGTAGATTCGTGATCCTTAGGGAAACAGACTGCAGGCAGAAGTGCAAGCCCAGTGCAGGCTTTGCTCCTGTCGGTTGTCAGGGTCGCTTTACAGCAACAGTCGTCCTGGTTTCAGATGCCTTCCTTAGGGCATCTGTGCTAGTCTGCCATTCACTGAACCTTTCCCCCTTTTGGAAAGAAGCTCCTGAGTAGAGTTCATTGTGTCTCCCATCACTAGCAGCTGCTGCTCTTTCTGGGTGGGTCAGACACAAGTGAGAGCAAAGAGCAGTTGCTGTTGGTGCTGTAGAACTTGGCTGCGCATCAAACTCATTTACCAGTGTTCCTCCTAAACCTAAATCATAGGATTAATAATTTGCCTGTTTATTTATGACCTAATTTTGACTCCTATTAATAAAAGCTAATGGGAAAGGCCCCTCCCTGAGGCTGATGACTAGACTCACGTTTAACTTCCCTACAGCATTATGAAGCACCAGGCAGAGTATTAAAGAAATATAATATTTTATTGAAAATTCTGTCCTTTAAAAGGAACATGTTTTTGGGTGTCATCATTTTGGTAAGTGTTGGCTGTTTGCTGTTTATTACACTATAGTGGCAGGAGATGCACTCAGCTGCCGTTCTGCCCACACCATGTAGTCTGTGATTCTTTTTTAAGTGACTTTAACAGAATAGTTCCTGTAGGGAAACCTCAGAGGTCATCACCTCCCCACCTGTGTCATGAGTGTCAAGCTGCTTTCTGAGCTGAAGTCATCAAGAGTGTATCTGCATACAGAGGCAGTGTATTTGTGAGTTGTCTGGAACTAAAAAATAGAATACAACATTTTCTTGTATTACAGTATTTGTCATTTTCTTTGTTGGCATGTCTGGGCGTGGGGTGGGAAGCAGGGGGATGGTGGCGTCTCAGGCAGCAGTCCTGCTGGAAGGACTCTGCAAGGTAAGGGTCTCATTGCTGGCCTGCCTTTTGTAGCTTCCAGGGACAAGCAGGAATTCTGGCTACCAGGACTTGGGAGTGAATAAAGATCCCAAACTGTGTGACCACTGTGGGACTGACGTGAAGCAGGGTTGGGGATGTCATGTTCTGGTGTGTGCACCAAGAGACAGCATTGCACTTGAGACATCAGTGCTCCCTGTACAAGGCCAGTCCAAGCAAGAGTGGGTGGGGTCTTTAGTTTGTAACCCTGGAGGGGTTACACCTATGTTAATCTGGGGCCTCACCTATGTTAGTACTTGAGTCCACCGCAACCCCTCACTGGGGGATTCTAGACAGGCTTTCTACTGCCAAGCTGTGATGCCTAGCTCTGGGCCGTGTTCTTCCGACCACAGCATGTTATTGGACAGGAGGAAATCATTTCATAAATACCCAAGCAGGTCCTCACACCTGCCCCGAGAGGGTATGTCAGTAGTCCATACATCTCTTGTTAGCTGGGAACTGCATGCACAGACTAGGAAGGGTGAAGGCCCTCACACCTGCCCGAGAGGGTATGTCAATAGTTCATAAGCCACACGGGATGGACTTGCTTGCAAGCGTGGCTGATCTGATGAAGATATGATGATGGCGGCTCTTTCTCCTGGAGGACCAGATTCTACATCAAGGAGTCCACGATGTTTGGATTAGGTAGGTCGCTTTTCCACAGAGAAGTTCCTGGCCCAAGTACCCTCCGTGTGGTCCAATCTCACATCTGCTTGTGTCCTCCCATACTCTGAGGGGGGCGCGAAATGGGGCTGGGGCTTGACAGCTTTGACTTCAGACAAACCCGACCCCCAGCTAGTTCAGATTCCAAAGTGAATTTGCACAATAATGAGCAAATCCATAGACTCATTGGTGATAATAGTTGTCCTTGTCTGCTTTTCTGTTGCTGTGGTACACACCTTCACTGAAAACAACTTGTAGAGGAAAGGGTTTATTTGGCAGACAGTTTTCATCATTAAAGGAAACCAAGGCAAGAACTCAAGGAGCTTGAAACTGAAACTGTAGGAATACTGTTTACTGTATTGCTAAGCTAGTTGCTTTTTTTTTTTTTTTAATATTTATTTATTATGTATACAGTTAGCCAGAAGAGGGCACCAGACCTCACTACAGATGGTTGTGGGCCACCTTGTGGCTGCTGGGAATTGAACTCAGGACCTTTGGAAGAGCAGACAATGCTCTTAACTGCTGAGCCATCTCTCCAACCCCCACTTTTTAAAATACAGCCCAGGCCCCACTTGCCTAGGGATGGCACCACCCACAGTGGACTGAGCTCTGCTAGTCCAGTCTGCCCACAGTTCAGTCTGATAAAGGCAATTCCTCAGTTGAGGTTCCTCCTTCCCGTTGTGTCAGACTGATAACCAAGATCAGCCATCACAGTATTCCAGTTACCAAAGTTTGTCATTCATGTCACATGAGGCCCAGCTACTTAAAATCCCAAACACCGTCATAATCAGAAGTATGGATACTGGAGGATGGGGAAAGAATGATGAATGAGCTCAGGGGTGCAGTTTGATAGGATCAATAGAGCCTAATGTTCTGTAGCTCAGGAGGATGATTGGCAGCAATTAATTGTGTATTTCAGAATAGCTAATTGAGGGACTTTGAGCGCGCCCACTCTTCGGGATATGTTTAATGGTAACTATGTAATACGATGGATATGCCGCATATCCCAGTCTGACCACACACAATATATACCGGGTTGAAATGTCACTCTAACCCCAGAAATACTTGAGGTTATCTCATTTTTTTAAGTTGAAGAATATAGCTACTGAAATAAGAGTTGAAAGCAAGCAAACTGGATGTGGTGCCTGTAGTCCTAGGAGGTAGAGGTAGATGGGAGTTCAAGGTCATCTTTTGCTATGTATTGAGCCCAAGACTAGCCTGGACTACATTCAGATTCTGTCTCAATAAAACAAAGCAAATCAGGCCAGAGAGATGGCTCAGAGGTTGAGAGAACTGACTTCCAGAGGACCTGAATTCAATTCCCAGCACCCATATGGCAGCTCACAACTGTCTGTGACTTCAAGATTTGACACTCTCACACAGGCAGGCAAACATGCAGATAAAACACTAATGCAATAAAATAAAAATAAATTATTAAAAAAAGGCAAGTCAAAAGTTAAAAGAGGCAACCCTGCACTGAGTCTAATGTCTCCTCTCTCTGGGTAGAACATATTTTGCTTTGAAATAGTCTCAGAATGTGACCCTGGCTGTTCCGGAACTCGATCTGTAGACCAGGCAGGCCTTGAACTCACAGAGATTCACCTGCCTCTGCCTTTGACTGAAGGCATGAGCTACCACAATAGCAGGAACAGCTTTATACTGAAATATATAATATTTATTCTGAAAATAATTTGGGATCCAAAATCTCTACTCCTTAGCAAAGGTTCAACCCTGAGGTAGGTTGGTCATTTTCTGCCCAGACACAGTGCAGCCATGAAGATACCAATGTAGATTCTGGTTGGAGTGGGCAGTTCCTGGACCGGGGGAGAGACCCTGGCTGGAGCTGTGGGTTGAGAAGGGGCAACAGGAGGGGGAGGAAGAAGTACCTAGTGACTCTTTCCTCCTCTCCCAACTCTAGCTGCAGTGTCCTGACCTATTGGCAAGTCAAAAGGGCCAAGTGACACAGGCCCTGCAGCTAGAGGGGCTTGGGATCTGCAGGGGCCACAGTCCACCATGACCCACAGGGCTCAGCTTCCCAAAGCAGAGCCAGTTAGAGAATGCTCTTTGGTGGAGGCTCATTGGACCTTCCCTTCTAAAGAATGGTCACTTCTGGATTGCTGGCAATATAGTCTCAGGGCCCACTTGTGCCCCACTTGATCAGATCTATCTGCCTGCCAGCCTGCTCCCTACCCCTGTTCGTCTGTCTGTCTCTCCCAATCTCCCTTCTTTTCTATCTTTTTGGATCAGGATGAGATTCTTATGTAGTCTTGGGTGGCCTCAAACTCAAGCTGAGGATGACCTTGAACTCCTGATGTTTCCGCCTCCACTCCCCAAATTCTGGGATTATAGGCATGTGATACTACACCTGTCTCAAAACTTCCTTTTGCAGTGCTGAAGGTGGAACCCAGAACCTTGCACAGTTTATAGAAGCAAGCACTCTACCCCGAGCAGTAGCCCCAAATGTGTAGCTTCTCAGTGTCGCCAGGATACCATCTGTCCTCCTGTTGTCTGAGAATAGCTATACAAGCAGATTTCCCTGTGTAGGTAAATGTTCTTGACGATCACGGCCAAGTCTGTGTCAGTTCCCCTGGAGGTAAGGATCTGAGTTCTTATTTTACCCAATTAAAATTAGCTAATCTTTTGAGAAAGTTCTCAGTATGTAGACCAGGCTGCTCTCCAATGCCGCCTGCCTCTGCTTCCCAAGTACTGGGGTTAAAGGCATGCACTTATTTTATTTTTTAAATTTGATTTTCATTTATGTGTATATATGTGTTTGCCACATGTCTGTAGTGCCTGTGGAGGACAGAAAGGGGCGTCAGGTCCCCCTGGAGCTGGAGTTACAGGCGGTGGAGGGCCGCCATGCAGGTTCTAAGAATTGAACTCCCATCTTCTTTCTGCAAGAGGAGCTGCTGCTCTCAGCCTCTGACCCATCTCTGTGACCCTTATTTTGTGTTTTACGTTTACTCATTTGTGTGTATGTGGGGGGGGAGAGTGCATGTGTGCCAGCACATGCATGTGGGGGTCAGAGGACAGTAAGTGGAACTCTGTTACCTCCTTCTGTTATGTGAATCTCAGGGTTCAAACTCAGTTCATCAGGCTTGGTGACATCTTGCTGGCCCTGGGATCTGAAGCCTACTTGGTAGCATTGGCTCACCAAATGTTCAGGCTATAGAACAGACAGGGATCCACTGACAGGGGAAAAAAAAACCAACTAAGACAAGCAGTATCCCAGACATCTGGGAAGCAGCTTCAGATATTCTTAGACATCACGCTCATCGCCCTAGCTTGTGGAACCCCAAAGCACTTGCCAGATCCCTGTAACCATGGGAAGAGAAGGCAACAGAGAACAGGAAGATGCTGAAATTAGTCTTCTCCGGATGGAGCTGCAGATGTCTGAGTCTTGACAGATTTCTAGGCTTGAAGGAAGTCATGTGCGTCTTCATTCATGGGGCTTCCGTTGTTGCTTCCGTCATATTGGAATGGGTTCCACATGGTGGCTGAGGACCCATCTCTCTAGGTACTGGTGTGTGGCAGCATCGCCACCCACCTCCAGCTTCTGCAGCACAAAAGTTCCTTGGCTGCATGTTTGTGGTTGTACCCTGAAGGCTGGAATGTGCCTACATTTGGAGACACTACGTCCTTGTAATACGTTCCACCAGCAGATGGACACGAGATGGTACTGTCCTGGCAGTGATGATGCCCCTCCCCCACTAGGCATGAGCTTTTGACCAGGTTTACAGTACTAGGCATGGGGTCTGGAGAGGTGGCTCAGCAACTAAGAGCATCTGCTGCTCTTCCAGAGGACCAGGGTTTGATTCCCAGCACCTACATGTCCGTAACTCCAGGTCCAGGGAATACAATGCCCTCCTCTTCTGGCCTCCTTGGGCATTGAATGCACATGGTGCACATACACACATGCAGGTAAAACACCTGTAACACATAAAGTCAAATTGAAAAAAATCTCTTATAGTACCAGGCATGAGTTGCTTGTGTAGAGTGGGTCTGTCTCTCCCCTCCTCCTTCCCTTCCCTTCTCCTTTGTCCTCTTTCCACCCTTCTTTCTTTTCTACAAAAGGCTCCCCTTTCCTCTTCCTCGCTCAATCTGCTTCCTCTCTTTCTGCCTCCCTCCCTTCTCCTTTAGAGACAGTCTCTCTCTCTCTCTCTCTCTCTCTCTCTCTCTCTCTCTCTCT